TTACTACAATTTCCCCAGGCAGATTATTTTTCTTTATATATCCTGAATATGACCTGTAGGCCACATCCATGTCGTTGAGTAACAATTCCGCCTTTATATCTGTTGCTGGGGCGAGTAGCTCACTCATCAGTTCTTTAAGATTCTCTCCTCTATTCTCTGGCACCCCTTGGAAGCGCAGGACCATGTTGGCCTTATCCATTTGCACTTTCTTCCTCACTTTCTGCATTGTCTCAGCCATTTCCTTTACTTTCTCCGCATCCTGCTTCATTACTTGGATCAAGTCCGTTATTTGTGTTTGTTGAGCAGTGATGCTTGTTGTTACAACTGCAAGCTGCTTTTGCTGCACTGTTATATTCGCTGTTACCACCGACATCTGCTCTTTAAAGACTTTGAGCTGTTCCAGTAGAGGGCGCATGACCTCAGCCATCGCCTTGGTCGTCTCACTGGTCGTTTCTGGTCTTGGGGACTCTGGTTTCATTTTTAAAAGTTTCTCTTTGTCTCTGTCCCTCTTCCCCACCATCTTTTCCCTGTTTGTTTACTTTCATGAAAACTTTTAAAAGTCTCTGAATATGCGCTTAACTGTATAGCTCGATTGGGTGAGTACTTCTGGGCAATCACAGGTTTATTCTTCTGCTCCCCCCTCCCTTTCGCTCAGTGATTTACGCATGGGAGGCGTCCCTCCCTCGCTCGCTTCTGCTGTTCCGCCGTGTCGAGTAGGGAGCGTCTTTTCTTTTAAAAATCTTATCTCAGTTGACTCACGTTCATAGTTGGTCTTCCGACCCCGCTACATTAATCATTTCTGACGCCCGATCTCTTACGCTTGACCTGGTTAGCTTTATTTATTTATTTCATTCGATTTATACCCCGCCCTCCCCGCGATGCGGGCTCAGGGCAGCTTACATGGAGGCAAACAGTATTATAAAACATATATAAAACATATATAAAACCATTTAAAATCCCAACAGTACAAAAACAATTTTAACAAGTTATTGACTAAAGTGCTCTAGGTGTTCAACATGATATTTCACAGATGGTGTATTTCAACTATTCAGCATCATCTGCTCCAGGGAAACGCTGATGTTCCCTCATCCAGGGCCAGGTAAAGATGGAGTAATGGTGATGGTAGTGGCGGCTTCTACTCATACGGCTGGTGGAAGAGCTCCGTCTTACAGGCCCTGCGAAACTGCACAAGGTCCCACAGGGCCCA